GTGTATTGTTTAGCCTCCATGTGCTTGTATTTTTTACAGATCATTTCCTGTAATTGATATCTAGTCTCATAGCATTGTGCTCGGAAAAGATACTTGGTACGATTTCAATTTTCTTAAATTTATCAAGGCTTGATTTGTGACCCACGATATGATCTGTCCTGGAGAATGTTCCATGAGCACTTGACAAGAATGTGTGTTTTGTTGTTTTTGGATTGAATGTCCTTATAAATATCAATTAAGTCCATCTTGTTTAATGTATTATTTAAAGCTTGTGTTTCCTTATTTATTTTCATTTTGGATGATCCGTCCATTGGTGAAAGTGGGGTGTTAAAGTCCTTTACTATGATTGTGTTATTGTCGATTTCCCGCTTTATGGCTGTTAGTATTTGCCTTATGTATTGAGGTGCTCCTATGTTGGGTGCATAAATGTTTACAGTTGTTATATCTTCTGCTTGGATCGATCCCTTGATCATTATGTAGTGTCCTTCTTTGTCTCTTATAATAGTCTTTATTTTAAAGTCTATTTTGTCGATTTGAGATGCTACTCCAGCTTTCTTTGATTTCCACTTGCATGGAATATCTTTTTCCATCCCCTCACTTTCAGTCTGTTTGTGTCCCTAGGTCCAAACTGCGTCTCCTATATATAGCATATATTCAGGTGTTGTTTTTGTATCCATTCAGCCCGTCTATGTCTTTTGGTTGGAGCATTTAATCCACTTACATTTAATGTAATTATCGATATGTATCTTCCTGTTCCCATATTTTTAATTGTTTTGGGTTTGTTATTGTAGGTCTTTTCCTTCTCTTGTGTTTCCTGCCTAGAGAAGTTCCTGTAGCATTTGTTGTAAAGCTGGTTTGGTGGTGCTGAACTCTTTCAGCTTTTGCGTGTCTGTAAAGGTTTTAATTTGTCCATCAGATCTGAATGAGATCCTTGCTGTGTAGGTTTTTCTCCTTCATCACTTTAAATATGTCCTGTCACTCCCTTCTGGGTTGCAGAGTTTCTGCTGAAAGATCAGCTGTTAATCTATGGGGATTCCCTTGTGTGTTATTTGTTGGTTTACCCTTGCTGCTTTTAATATGTTTTCTTTGTATGTAATTTTTGATAGTTTGATTAATATGTGTTTTGGCGTGTTTCTCCTTGGATTATCCTGTATGGGACTCTCTGTGCTTCCTGGGCTTGATTAACTATTTCCTTTCCCATATTAGGGAAGTTTTCAACTATAATCTCTTCAAACATTTTCTCAGTCCCTTTCTTTTTCTCTTCTTCTTCTGGAACCCCTATAATTCGAATGTTGGTGCATTTAATGTTGTCCCAGAGGTCTCTGAGACTGTCCTCAGTTTTTTTCATTTTTTTTTCTTTATTCTGCTCTGCAGTAGTTATTTCCACTATTTTATCTTCCAGGTCACTTATCCGTTCTTCTGCCTCATTTATTCTGCTATTGTTCCCTTCTAGAGAATTTTTAATTTCATTTATTATGTTGTTCATCATTGTTTGTTTGCTCTTTAGTTTTTCTTGGTCCTTTTTAAATGTTTCTTGTATTTTGTGTATTCTATTTCCAAGATTTTGGATCATCTTTACTATCATTTTTCTGAATTCTTTTTCAGGTAGACTGCCTATTTCCTCCTCATTTATTAGGTCTGGTGGGTGTTTACCTTGCTCCTTCATCTGCTGTGTGTTGTTCTGTCTTCTCATTTTGCTTTACTTACTGTGTTTGGGGTCTCGTTTTCGCAGGCTACATGTTCGTAGTTCCTGTTGTTTTTGGTGTCTCTCCCCAGTGGGTAAGGTTGGTTCAGTGGGTTGTGTAGGCTTCCTGGTGGAGGGGACTCGTGCCTGTGTTCTGGTGGATGAGGCTGGATCTTGTCTTTCTGGTGGGCAGGTCCACATCTAGTGGTGTGTTTTGGGGTGTGTGTGGCCTTATTATGATTTTAGGTAGCCTCTCTGCTAATGGGTGGGGTTGTGTTCCTGTCTTGCTAGTTGTTTGGCATAGGGTGTCCAGCCCTGTAGCTTGCTGGTTGTTGAGTGAAGCTGGGTATTGGCGTTGAGATGGAGATCTCTGGGAGATATTCACCATTTGTTATTACGTGGAGCTGGGAGGTCTTTTGTGGACCAGTGTCCTGAATTTGGCTCTGCCACCTCAGAGGCACAGCGCTGACTCCTGGCTGGAGCACCAAGAGCCTTTCATCCACACGGCTCAGAATAAAAGGGAGACAAAATAGAAAGAAAGAAAGAAAGAAGAGGAGAGGAGAGAGAGAGAGAGAGGGAGAGAGAAGAAAGAAAGAAAGAAAGAATGAAAGCAGAGTATAAAATAAAGTTATTAAAATAAAAAATAATTATTAAGAAAAAAATTTTTTAAGTAAAAATAAAACAGACGGACAGTACCATAGGACAAATGGTGAAAGCAAAGCTATACAGACAAAATCACACACAGAAGCTTACACATACACACTCAGAAAAAGAGAAAAAGGGGAAAAAATAATATATCTTTGCTCCCAAAATCCACTTCCTCAATTTGGGGTCATTCCTTGACTATTCATGTATTCCACAGATGCAGGGTACATCCAGTTGACTGTGGAGATTTCATCCACTGCTCCTGAGTCTGCTGGGAGAGATTTCCCTTTCTCTTCTTTGTTCGCACAGGTCCCGGGGTTCAGCTTTGGATTTAGCCCTGCCTCTGCGTGTAGGTCTCCAGAGGGCATCTGTTCACTGCCCCGACAGGATGGGCTGACTGGGGGTCTCTGGCTCACTCAGGCCGGGGCAAGGGATGGGTACGGTTGCGGGGCGAGCCTGTGGAGGCAGAGGCCAGCTGGACTTTGCAACAGCCTGAGGTGCGCCGTGCATTCTCCCGGGGAAGTTGTCCCTGGATCACGGGACTCTGGCAGTGGCGGCCTGCACAGGTTCCCGGGAGGGGAGATGGGGATAGTGACCAGTGTTTGCACACAGGCTTCTTGGTGGCCGCAGCAGCACCCTTAGTGTCCCATGCCCGTCTCCGGGGTCTGCGCCGATAGCTGCGTCTCGCGCCCGTCTGTGGAGCTCCTTTAAGCGGTGCTCTTAATCCCCTCTCCTAGCGCACCAGGAAACAAATAGGGAAGAAAAAGTCTTTTGCCTCTTCGGCAGCTCCAGACCTTTTCCCGATCTCCCTCCCGGCTAGCTGTGGCGCACTAGCCCCCGTCAGGCTGTGTTCATGCAGCTAACCCCAGTCCTCTCCGTGGTATCCGACCTCCGAAGCCCGAGCCTTAGCTCCCAGCCCCCTCCCGCCCCGGCGGGTGAGCAGACAAGCCTCTCGGGCTGGTGAGTGCCGGTCGCACCGATCCTCTGTGCGGGAATCTCTCCGCTTTGCCCTCCGCACCCCTGTTGCTGTGCTCTCCTCCGCGGCTCCGAACCTTTCCCCCAACGCCACCTGCAGTCTCCGCCTGCGAAGGGGCTTCATAGTGTGTGGAAACCTTTCCTCCTTCACAGCTCCCTCCCACTGGTGCAGGTCCTGTACCTATTCATTCGTCTCTGTTTATTCTTTTTTCTTTTGCCCTACCCAGGTATGTGGGGATTTTCTTGCCTTTGGGAGGTCTTAGGTCTTCTGCCAGCGTTCAGTAGGTGTTCTGTAGGAGTTGTTCCACATGTAGATGTATTTCTTTTGTATCTGTGGGGAGGAAGGTGATCTCCGCGTCTTCCTCTTCTGCCATCTTGAAGCTGCCTTCTTTTCCTATTTTTGATTGGATTAATTTTTGGTTTCCATTTTTCTCCATTATTACATTTTCATTATAAAAAATGTCAGCGATTGCTTGAGAGTTAGTAATGTATATATTTAATGTAGCAAAGTCTCTATTCAAATAATATTTCAAATATAGTATAAACTGTATACTTTCATTCCTCCCTCCCAACGTTTGTGCTATTTCTGTCACACCTTTTACTTGAACATATGTTACAAACCTCACAATATGTTATTATTTTTGCTGTATAGCCATTTATCTTTTAAGGAGATTTAAATATTTTAAATGTTTTACATTTAATGTCTTTTACATTACCCTCATTTTTACCATATGTGGCACTCTTCATTTCTTAGTGTAGATTCATATTTCCATTTGTGTCATATTTGTTCTTTGTGAAGAATTTCTTTTAACATTTCTTGTAGTCCATATCTGATGGAAATTAATTATCTCAGCTTTTATTTATCTGAAAAAGCCTTTATTTCACCTTCTTTTTAAATATGTTTTCTCTAGCTTTAGAATATTGGATTGACTTTTTTTTTTTCTTTCAGAACTTTAGAGATGTTGTTCTGTAGTGGTTTATCCTGGATAGTTTCTGCAAAGAAGTTGCTAGTCTTTGGTTTTTCTGTATTTTTTTTTCTCATATAGATTTTATTCTAGCCTCCCTCAGTGGCAGTACTCCTTTGCCTGGGGCTGTGAGCAGGAAGGTGTTCGTTCTGTCTCTGCTCCAGCTCTAGACTGCTATTAGTGGTTACTTGGTGGAAACTTGCGGCAGTCAGCCTCCCCCAGAGACATGAGATATTTGCCTGGGCCCTAGAGCAGGTCATCATTCTTTCTTAGTGACCAGTTTTTTTCAGTGTGTTTTCTGGTGTGTGTTATGTAGCAGTACATTAACACATGTAATTTCGAAATTAATGTGTGTATGTAGGGGGTGTATTATGTTCAACAGTTTTACTGATCGGAGTGTATAGTCAGAATTGTTTAGAAGCTGCTGCTTTAGAGGGTCAGAACTAAGAACTCTGACAGATTTAAAGTGGAATTTGCCACTTGCTGTTTGATTTCCTGACAACACAGTTTGGATGGTTCACTTTATTTTAGTGGGTAATCTCATTTATAAGCATAGAATGTTATACAATGCACATTTTATTTAAAATATTATTTAAATATTAAATAAAAATTTAAAAACATTAATTAGATTTATATGCTTAAAAGGTGAAGCAGTCTTTGTGAACTCTTTTGTATTTTAAAATCCTTTCTTTTTTATAAATGAAGATCTCCTTATTCTTTTTTAGGACTGTGAGGACATGGGAAGTTGAAAATCCAAAGAAGCAAAAAAGTGTGTTTAAACCACGGACAATGCAGGGTAAAAAAGTAATTCCCACCACTTGTACATATAGTAGAGATGGAAACCTCATAGCAGCTGCCTGCCAGAATGGAAGCATACAGATCTGGGACCGAAATTTGGCTGTAAGTTAAGGACATTTAAGTCCTCTTTTCTTAGAAGAAAACCACCTTACAAAGCCAAACATCATGTTAAAATATTATGAAGGTCAATTTCCTGAGTTTAGCTCTAATTTAAACTTCAGTGTTAGTTGATAAAACATTGGGACTTTTGCAGTAAACAGCATTTTAGCAAACATTCCAGCTCAGTATTTTCCAATGTGTATTAGATTTTGTTTTTAAAATAAGCTAAATCTTTTGGTATAAAATTTAAAAAGCATAGTGCAGTTTATTATATGACATCTCAGTATACTTGATTTTGAAAGCGAAGGATTTGACAGTAATATAAGACAAGACTAGGCTGAGCACTAGAAAATGCCCTTTAAAAGATTTGAGAAAAATAGCAAGGACAATCCATCAGTTGTTATGCAATTATTTCTTTAGTAATTTAAATAATATTTTGTTTTGACATTCTGTGACATTCCATTTGAATAGGTTTCAGATTTTTTTTCTTTTCAGTTTTTGGTCATTATTAGAATAAATAAACTTTGGAATTGGAAGGGATCATAGAATTCTTTAACCACAGAAATAATGAATAAGATAATGAATAGCCTTTGGCTAATTTTGTGAATTACCAATAAGCTTTGAAAAGGGTTTTGTTGTATGCATAGATGGTAAAACAAGAATTTTTAAGTGGAATGATTCTAGATTACCAAAGTTAAAATGAAAATCTACACTAATGTTATAATACAAATTGGTTATCTTATTTTTTTTATAATTAAAAAAAGTTTATTTTATTTACTTATTTTTGACTGCATTGGGTTTTTGTTGCTGCTCACAGCTTTCTCTAGTTGCGGCGAGCGGGGGCTACTCTTCGTTGCGGTGCGCGGGCTTCTCATTGCGGTGGCTTCTCATGTTGCGGAGCACAGGCTGTAGGTGCGTGGGCTTCAGTAGTTGTGGCGCACGGGCTCAGCAGTTGTGGCTCACAGGCTCTAGAGCACAGGCTCAGTAGTTGTGGTTCACGGGCTTAGTTGCTCCACAGCATGTGGGATCTTCCTGGACCAGGGCTTGAACCTGTGTCCCCTGCATTGGCAGGCAGATTCTTAACCACTGAGCCACCAGGGAAGCCCCAGTTATCTTATTTTAATAAAAGGTGATGGTCAAATTATTAATTTAATAAATATTAAGTACATACTATATGCAGGCACTATTCTGGGCACTGCAAATACTGTAGATTATCCAAATTTTCTGCCTTCATAGAGTTTACATTGTTCTTTTTAACAATTATAAAAATAATTTTCTTTCAAATAAAATTGCCTATCAGACACTTACATTTTGAAAGGGGCCCCAGGAAACATAGTTGTCTTTTCAGGCAGATGAGTTAAAGTCAGTTTTCTTGGAATAAGGTAAAAAATAGTGATAGGAAAAAGGAGTCCATGTTGAGATTGCTGGAAATATCTTTGGCATTTTCTGTTTGTCAGACCTTTTTATTTCTGTTTTCATCTCCACTATAAACCCCATAATGCTTCATAACAGCTCAGAGATTTAAAAAATTCTTTGAATTGTAAACTGAATTTTAACAAAGCAATAAATTTTTTAGTTCCTAGGTTTCATCATCTCTGGGTGCTGTTGATTTAAACATAGAAATTCTAAAACATGAAGTTTTCTTATCTAGCTTTAATAGTGATGTGTTTGATATATATATATATATATATATATATATATATATATATATATACGTATATATATGCCTTTTCTTAGAAACCATATATTTTCATAAAGTTCAGTATAGTTTTTAGAGATGGGTCTTGCACATCTCTTGAAATAATTAGTATATCTCCTGTTTCCCATTTTGTAGAAACCAAAGCTATTTGAATGCCAGTTCCCCCCCACCAAAATCTTTTAAACCATTCTTCTAATCACAGACTTTGATTCTGTTTATTTAATAATACCTGAATGTAAAGTTAATTATACCACATCCTATTCATCATATTTCATTCATATTTTTAAACTTGTATGTGTGTGTGTGTCACCTGAAGACAAATCAAATTGAGAGGAAAAAACTTGCTAGCAGGAAACACAGTTTGATTAAAAAACAGCTTAAAAAATGTTCTTAACTATTACTTTAGCAATAGTAAGTCATCTACAGGGAAACACTAAAGCTGAGGTAAGAAACCCTAATAACAATGTTTTTTTCCACACAGTAGCCAAAGAATTACATGGCAAATAATGGTTAATACATGTTTTGTGACAATTAAGTAAAGCTATCACAATTGCCATGTTTAATCATAGAATTTTCATTAGACCAATTGCACTTCAGCAAATTAAATGAAATGTATTTCTTTTCTTAGAAGTAAAGTGTCTATCAGTGATAAATTCCTGTGTTCTCAAGACCTACCTTTATTCTAGAATTATGCTGGCTAGTATAGTAGCCACTAGCCACATCTGACTATTTCAATTTAAAATAATTAAAATAAAATATAAAAAGAAACAAAATTGAGTTATTTGTAGTGAGGTGGATGGACCTAGAGTCTGTCATACAGAGTGAAGTAAGTCAGAAAGAGAAAAACAAATACCGTATGCTAACACATATATATGGAATCTAAGAGAAAAAAAAAAAAGAAGGTCATGAAGAACCTAGGGGCAAGACAGGAATAAAGACACAGACCTACTAGAGCATGGACTTGAGGATATGGGGAGGGGGAAGGGTAAGCTGTGACGAAGTGAGAGAGTGGCATGGACATATATACACTACCAAATGTGAAATAGATGGCTAGTGGGAAGTAGCCGCATAGCACAGGGAGATCGGCTCGGTGCTTTGTGACCACCTGGAGGGGTGGGATAGGAAGGGTGGGAGGGAGGGAGACGCAAGAGGGAAGAGATACGGGAACATATGTATATGTATAACTGATTCATTTTGTTATAAAGCAGAAACTAACACACCATCGTAAAGCAATTATACTCCAATAAGGTGTTAAAAAAATAAAATAAAATATAATTAAAATTTCAGTTCCTCGGTCATACTAGCTACTTATTGGACAGCACAGATAGAGAACATTCTCATCATTGCAGAAAATTCTGTTGGACATTGCTGCTCAAGAGGAGTGTTTGTTTGCCCAGCATCCCTCTCAGTCATATGATGCTGGGCTGTCTTTAAATTTGAGAGGAAGCCCAGTTCAGAGGAGCTTCTGCAGGTCTGCGCTGCCTTCCTACTCCCTCATTCCCCATTCAGCAGCACTTATATGAGCAACAGCGAGGAGGCCACTGCTCGGTTGGAGTAAAGTGAGTGAGGTGCAGAATAGGAGGAGATGACGTTGGAGAGGTAACAGCATGCCCCCTGACACAGGGCCTTTGCATATGCGGAACCCTTCAGGCTCCAACATTCTTCTCTTAGGTGTTCACATGGCTTTTCCCCCTCACCTCTTTCAGTGCTTTGCTCAGATTTTCGCTTCTCAGCAAGGCCTTGCCTGACTCCACATTATGTACAATTGCAACCTTCACCCCACCAGTGGCACTCTCTGTCCCTCTTATTTTCTTCCATAGGGCTGATCATCTTCTGACATACTATACTATATATTTTACTTGTTTATTGAGATTGTCAGTTTATTTCTAAGAAGTCATTAAAAATAGTAGCATAAAGTACTATCCTTGTTATATGAAAGCATAATGAGGTAGAGATATGAGAGAGAGAGAGGGAGGGAGGGAGATACTGATGTTATTTTTCATGTATCCTTAATGATGTAGAAACACATAATCTGTGTTAACATAGATGGATTTTTAAAAACTGTTTTCATGTCTCTCTCACGTATAATTTCTGGCTTTTAAAATATTCCAGCTTGTATAGTCTTATGAATACCCAATGACTTCTTCTGTTCAAATAAAAACACCTACCGAATTCTTTGGACATATTTTGCTCAAGGCAGCATTAGTGCTCTTTAATATCTATCAGGAGTCTACAGTATGCTAGACTCTTTACTAAAAGAACATGTTGTACTTCCTTGTACTGCAGTCACTCTTTGTAGACTAAGATTTTGGCAGGAAAATGAGGACCCATCGTCTTCATGGAGTTTTGCTTTCCCTAGATCCAGGTGATGGGAGGGAATGATATTTGAAGTTTGACTTGGCAATAGGGTACCACCAGCAACTTGACCCGCTCTCCACCTGACTGCCTCCTGCTGCTCCTTTGGCCTGCAACCCCAGCCCAGATTAGGAACATGAGCACACGCTACAACCCCTTACCAGAAAAGCCTCAAGCCTGTGAGACACTGCAGAGACATTTCTCTAGCTCAGAGGTTGATCAGTGCCCACATTCTCTCAGCCATACTAGAGAATGGTTGGTATGGTTCAGAGAAAGCTGGGGCAAGAACTAGTAATCACACCAGGAGATAAGCTTCTGGGCAAATAAGCCCCTGGTGAATAAGAGAACAGGTATGAAGGAGAAAGAATACAGAAAATAAAATCACCAGTAGTAGCTTGCATCCAGTGTTCCACAAATCTTTAAATGTCTCCAGTCACCTTCAGATAACCCAAGTTAAGATTAGGTTGATTTATGGCCTTCTACATCTTTCCCTTTATTTGTGTGTGTGTGTGTGTATGTGTGTGTGTTTATGTGTGTATATACATATACATACACACACACACACACACACATATACATATACGCACAGACACAGAGTAAAATGTTTTGTTTTTATAATGGTGAATTTACAATTTGCTTTTTTTATTTGAGACTGTAACATGGACAGCCTTGTAATAATAGATATAGTTCTAATTGGCTTTTTTCAAAATTTCTTTATTTAAATGGAATCATAATTTTATAAACATGAAATATACACTTTAAAAATTATTATTACTATTACTGTTTTATTAATTACCTCTACTCTTATTATCCTATCTCTAACTCATGATGCTTGTAAATTACCTGGTATGTATCTTTCTGTACTTTTCTCCATAGCTCTATGTCTGTCCATATATCTATCTGTCTACCTAGATCAGGAACACTTCACCTGGTGGTAGTTTTGAGAACC